AGGCGCAGGGCAGGCCGGCGACCTGGATGCCCTCGGCGACGATGGTGCCCCCGGCGACGGCGGGGCCCACGAAGGTCCCGCTGGGGGCGGGCGGGGAGGCGGAATGCCCTCACTCGGTTGCGAGAGAATCCCCTCAAGGGCAGTGGAGGCGGCAGCAGGGAGGGCGGCGGGGCGGGCTTGCTCGGATCGGCGCGTCTGCCCTCGCCGCCCTTGCCCCCGCCCTTGCCCCTGCCCTTGCCACCCGGCGCGTGGCGAGAGGGCGACTTCCCGAAGTGCGCGCGAGCCTCCCCGATGATCTTGCCCTTCTCCTCCGATGTTTTACCCTTGAGCAGCTCGCACGCCCGGTACAGGTGCTGCAGGGCAGGGCCCTGCTTCCCGGCCTTTTTGCGGGGTTGCCACCCCCCGGCCCGGCGGCAGACGAGTAGGCGGCGAGGATGGCCTGTAGTGCTCCGGGGTTTGCGAGGAGGGCGGCAAGCGGGTCGGCGGGAGAGGGAGCCGGCGGCGGCTCGGGCGGTGGTGGAGCGGCGGCGAGGGCCTTCTCCGGACGGGGGGAGCACTTCTCGCCACGCTCGTCCATCTTCGCGAGAAGATGAGGACGCAGGCCTGCATCAGGATGTTAAGGCGGACGGTGCCGTTCTCAGCCGCCTTGCCCTCCTTGGGGCTGCGGGTAGGAGAGACCTCAATGATCCTCGTGGCGACAGATCGGAGGTGGAGGCGGCGCGGCGGGCGGCGAGCAGGGCCTCGGACTCGCACATGATCCGGTTCCGGCTAGGGTTCCGGATGTGTTCACGTCGAGGGTTTTTTGGACGAACTCGAGGAGCAGCAAGTGCAGCTCGTGGTGCGTCTTGGCCTTGTGGTTGCGGCGATCATTGAGCCACATGACGGCGTGAAGGCGCTCCTTGAACTCGGCGAAGACCTGCTCGGTCTCCTGCCCGAAGCCGCCGGCGAGGAGGGGCTCTCGGCCGAGCTCAACGTAGATCCGCTCCTGGAGCTCGGGATCGGCATTGGCGACCTTGGAGTAGATCGCCACGAAGAGGCTGGTTGCGGTGGGCGATCCAGGCCTGCTGCCAGCCACCTCGTCAACGAGGCGCATGATCTCCTCGCGAGGTCGCTCGCCGGCGACGATCTTGTCGAGGAGGACAGTGTAGACGGCGTTGTTGATCGAGGCGACGGCGCGCGGGTCGTCTCGACGTGCGAGATCGAGAGAAAACGACCGAGCTCGTCGTCATCCAGCAGGGAGCGGGTGATGATGGTTGCGGGCCCACCAAACTGGTGGGGCAACTTGATTTTGTCGGCGAGGAGGAGCTCGACGTACTCGGACATGCACATGGTCGTGCGCCTGTCGGGCGCGTCCGACTGCTGAAACAGCTTGACGAGCGCGTCGGTGTCGCTCGCAATGATTTTGTTGGAGAGGGGATCGATGTAGACCCTTCCCCCTGTTGCGATGAGAATGAAGATGCCGGTGCGCGACCTCTGGTCGCTCGAGTAGCTGACCTTGAGGAGGGTGTGGGCAAAGGCGAGCGTGCCGGCGCCCGCATCGATGCCGATTCGTTTGGCCCACTTTGCGGCTTTTGCGTAGGTTGCGACATCCTTGGCGGGGACCTCCCCGAGGCCCTCCGCCAGTGAGTCGGGCATGTCTCTGGGATAGCGTGAAGGTATCTCCCCCAAAGTGCTGGTCGTGACCAGTTTGACGCTGCCACGTTCGGCCGTGCCCCGGGAGGGGCGCGGTCGACACCAGAAGGGGGTCGTATACGTTCTCTAGAGACCACGTAGTCGGGGACGTCCGCAATCACAATGGGGACGGACACGACGGGGCGAGCGGTGTGAAAGCACAGAGGCAACCAACACACCACTAGGGTTCGGGAGAATGCTAGGGTTAGGGAGAGAGTGCCTGACGGGCTTCGGCCCGACGCGGTCTACAGGCGACTCACATCGTCCCGCGCCGGATGTAGAGCTCTACAGCTCTACAGGACTACAGCGCTCTACAGCTCTACAGCTCTACAGCGCTCTACAGGTCTAGTCTACACTCTCCACAGCACCCTCCCTCAGCTCGTGGGCTGGCACGCCCTGTTTAGCCGCGCTTCCCCCGCGCGCGCTACTCGCTCGTGGCCGCGCCATGCCTGGCCCTCCCCAAGCTGCTGCGAGCCCGGAGCCTGACGCTGAGCGCGTCGCCGTCGGCACCGGCGGCGCACCGGCGCACAGCGGCGGAGTTATCGCACATTCGTACTGCATGGCCGCTCGAGCCCCTGCGCCTACCTATGGGCGCGAAGCGATCTCCCCCTAACACCGCCCAGTCAGTGGACGTTAGGATGGGAGCCCCCCCTAGACGGCAAGGTGCCCGAACCCAGATATGAGTAGGTGATGGCGCGGCCACGCGTTCGAGTTGGCCTCTGCCTCGCCCTCCTCTGCTACCTCCCCTCCTCTGCCAGCCTCGCGCTCCCAGAGGCCTTCCGTCGGGCGCGGGCGCGGAACGCCCGGCTGCAGCGCAGCGCAAGCTCGCCGGCGCCGCGGCCGCCGCCGTCGGCTGCTCCTCTCGTGTCGGGCGAGGTGGTGCTGCCGCCGTCGCTCGAGGAGCGGCTCTCCTCCGCGCTCGGCGTCCGCAGCCTCAACCCGCTCCAGCGGCTGGCGCTGCCCCACGCGCTCGGCGGCGGCGACACTCTCGTCCACGCAGAGACGGGCGCAGGCAAGACACTGTGCTTTGCGCTGCCCATCGCCGCCTCGCTCGCCGCCGCCGACGGAGCCGCCTCCTCGCCGGCAGCCTGCGACGGCTCGGTGCTCTGCTCGCGCCCTCGGAGGACGCGCCCGGCAATCCCTCGAGAGCCAACCCCGGACCCGCCCGACAGGTGCACGCGCTTGTGCTGAGCCCGACGCTCGAGCTGTGCGCGCAGACGGCGGCGGTGCTCAACGCCCTCCTCCCGGGCTGCGCCGCTGTCGTGGCGACCGACGAGGCCGCGCGGCTCCTCTCCGGAGGGGCCGCCGCCTCCGCCCTCGCCGGCGCCCGCGTGCTGGTGTCGCCTGCCTCGCTCGCCCTCGCGCTGCTCCCCGCATCTGAGGCGCCGGCCGGCGGAGGGCGGCGCGCGAGCGGCGCGGCGATGAGGGCCGACGCCGGTCGGTCGCGCGGCGCCGGCCGGAGAGGCGGTGGTGGCGGCCGGCGGCCGGCGGCCGGCGGGAGGGGAGGCGGCGGGAGGCGGTTCGAGGAGGGCGGAGAGGGCGGCGCAGTGACGGCGGTGCGAAGCCGCTCGCTGGAGCCGGGCGGGCTGCTCGGCTCGCTTCGCCTGCTCGTCCTCGACGAGGCGCGGCCGTCCCTCCCGCACACCCGTTCTGCGACACCCTCCCCTTGAGAAGAGAGGCTGGAGCGGGCCCGCCCTTGTGAGACGCCGCCTCCCTCCAGCCCTCCCCCCCCCTTCTCGGCGGCAGGCCGACGCGCTGCTCGGCACGCTCGGCAAGTACGCGACGCAGAGGCAGAAGGAGTCGCGCAGCCGCCACCCCAAGCCCGCCGCTCTCGTCGTCAAGTCGCTCTTCACCGCCGCCGCCTCCAGACCACCCTCCTCCGGCACCCTCCAGCTGCTCGGCGCCTCGGCCACCGTCGGACGTCCGCTCCGCCGCGAGCTGCAGGCCCTCTCCGGCCGCTCGCTCGCGGTGGCGCAGCTCCCCTCCTCTCCGCCTGGCGCAGACATCGGCGCGCCCTCCGCCTCGCCGGCCGGCTCCTCGCGGCAAGCGGCCTCGTCCGCGCGGGCGGTGGGGCTGCCGTCGACGCTCGAGCTCGCCGTGCTCACTTGCGAGGGGGACAACACCGCGCTCGCCCTCCAGCGCGCCCTCGGCGCGGCCGGCGAGGGCGCCGCCCTCGTCTTCGTCCCCGACGGCCGCCCGGTCGGTCCGGAGCTGCGGCTGCTCCGCCAGTGCGGGCTCCCCGAGGCGGAGTCTCTTGTCGACTACCTCGCTCGCCGAGCGGGGGGCGGAGGCGCGGAGGGCGGAGGCGCGGGGGGCGGAGGCGCGGGGGGCGGTGGCGCGCCGCTGCGGCTCGTGGCGTCGCCTCGCTCGGCGCGCGGGCTCGACCTGCCCGAGGTGAGCCTAGTCGTCATCCTCGGCCTGCCCGCCTCGGCCGACACGCTGCTCCACCTGGCGGGCCGCACGGCGCGGCAGGGCGCGGCGGGGCGCGTGGTGCTCATCGCCACGCCCGACGAGGCGGCGGGGCGGCTGGGCGTGCTCGGCGCGCAGCTGGGCGTCGACCTCCGCGCGCGCTCCTCTGCGGTGCGGGAGCGCGACGAGGAGTGGGCCCGCACCTGGGCGGTGCACCAGCAGGTCGTCCAGGCGGAGAGAAAGTACAACAACTGAAGGGTACGCACTGGAGGCGGAGAATTGGAGGAGAGAGAGGGCGGGCCGCCGGGGGCGTGTGTGGCTTGGGCGGAGGGGCGGGGTGCAGCTCCTTTCAACGCACAACGGTCAGACTCACGTCCTTGTGGAGAAGAGGTATGAGCGTATGATTAGAAAGAAACGGAAAGAAAATTAGGGACGCGGCTTGAGGGTACCGGTAGGGAGGTCGGTTGCTGCTGCCTGCTGGCACGTGGCAGGTCGGCTCTCGGCACGCGCCCAGGGACATTGCAACATGCAACAAGGCGTTCTTGCAGAACTTGCGCTACTTGGACCGCAACTTGAAAGAAAGAAAGAAAGAAAACAGACACCCCAAGGGAGGGATGGGAGGACGGCACGCCGCCACCACAACTTGGTCTTGCGGAGCAGAGATGGAGTCGCGTCTAATTTTTTCAAAAGCGAAAAGGGCGTAAGGTACCCCCTATTTGATAGTTTTTCGCTTCGCTGCGCGGCCTGGGGATGGGTAGGTAGGTATCTCGTTTTGGCGTGAGTCAGATCAGACCCCCTATCCTGGTAGGAGCCGGAACCCAGAGTTGCCGAGGGCATGGTCAGCGCACTGACGCGCCTACCGCCCACACGCCTTGCGACACACAGCTCACGCCTCGCGTCCCGTCACGACCCCGCTTTAGTCGGCGCTCCTCAACTTCCAGTCCTTTCTCACCTGCGTCCTGCTCTTCATCTGCACGTCCACGTACCTCAAATCGCAACGGCCCTCAATGTTTAGAGAAAAGAAGCCAGGGTGCGTGTAGCGACCACCGCGCCGCCCGCCAGCGGCACGCCGCGTCACCAGCTGTCCACGCGCGCTGGCAGGCTCTTCTCACTCGTCTACAAGGGCGCTGTCATTGGTGCGCAATCGCGCCGTGCACGCAGCTGCACCCACCCTCACCCGACCCCGCCGCGTGGTGTAGGCACGAGGTTAAGTCCTTGGGTATCTGCTAGCTGTCTGCTCATGGCCGCATGGACTCTCTTCTTCTGACGCACCGCCAACCTTCGTGGGCCGCGTCTCTCTTCACTCTTGCATTTACGCATTACGGCGCGCGGGTTTTGGGTTTAGCTTTGAGAGTAAGGGCTAGGCGCGCGGCGCGTTGATGTCGACTGTAAAATCGCGCAAAAAACGAGCCGCAGGCTGTGTTCCCGCTGCGCCCACTCGCCGAATTGCCGGTCCATACGAAACATAACACGTACAGTAACACACGCGTCCTCACGGCCTGGGGTGCTGCGGGTCACACGCAGAGCGGGACGGGGCGGGGGGGCACAACAGCTCAAGACAGGCGGGTGTCGGGTCGTCGGGTCGGCGCGTGGCTCTCGCCCTCGGCCTCCGTCCCACGGGCCAGACACAGGGCCCCACACCCGCACAGCTCTCCCCGTCTCGCCACTCGCTCCACCGTCTAGAGGCGCCCGGGTTGCGCTCAGAGCTCGTCGTGCAAAGCGCGCTTCATCGCGGCGTTCTCGCGCCGCAGCATCTCGAGCTCGGAGGCGCCTCCCATGCCGCCGCCGCCCATCCCCATGCCGCCGGCCATGCCCGCCATCTGCTGCTGCGCCTGCGCCATCTGCTCGGGCGTCACCTCGAGGCCCATCGAGCGCGCCATCGCCGCCATGTCGGAGGGTGCCATCGAGGCGACCTTGTCCTTGACGCCTGCCATCATCTGCTGCGCCTGCGCCTTGAAGGCCGGGTCCGCCATCAGCGCCTCCACCTCCTTGCGCGTGTTTGGGTCCTTCATCATCTCCATCACTCCCTGCATCACGCTCGGGTCGCGCGCCGCCTGCTGCAGGTTGGCCATGCCCAGCTCCGCCGTGTTGAGCTCGCCCGCCTTGTGCCGGTCCGCGTTCCGCAGCTCCCACTCCGACGCATCGCCCATCGCCGCAGCGCCGCCCATCGCCGCCGCGCCGCCCGGAACCTGGCCCATCGCGGTGGCGGTCGCCATGCCGGGCACCGGGTTGCCCTGGGCGTCGAGCATCCCGCGCGCCTTGGCCTTGGCCTCGAGCTCGGCGAGCTTGGCCTTGGCGGCCTTCATGTACTGCGGGTCCTTGAGCATCTCTGCCGCCTTGGCCATCACCTCGGGGTCCTGCGGGCGGGCGGCGGGAGGCGCGGCTTACGCTTCCTGCCTCTCTCGCCGCCTGTCGCGGCGGCGGGCGCAGGAGCGGAGCGGCGCCCACCTTCATGCCCTGCATCACCTCCTGCATCTTGTCGGGGTTGCGGCTGAGCTGCTCCCAGCCGGCCATCGCGATGTCGACGTCCGAGGGCGGCGGCGTGGCGTCAGCGATGCCGGACGCCTCGCCCTGCATCTTGTTGCGGCGGCCGAACTGGGCTTCGGCCGCGAGCGGTGCGCAGATCAGGGCGACGCAGGTGAGGAGGCGGGCCATCGTTGCTTCAGGTCGAAGGCTATAGGCGCCACCAGATCGTGATCGAAGCGGAGTGAAATGGGTCGGCAAAATAAGAAGTGGCGCCGCGGGGAATGGGACCGCCGCAAGCGGCGTGGCGTGGAGCGGTTGAGCATCCCTCCGGGGGCCCCTCTGCGCCGGGGAGGCGTTGTTGGAGGCTAGGACGCAAGCGTCCGTCGCCTTTTTCAAACTCGGGTCCCCACTCCGCTACGCTCCGACCCGAATTTGGAGGGCCATGAAGTTTAAGTGCGGCAGGTTGCCTATGATCCAGAGCTTACTCTCTTGCAGTCCGCTACGCCGGGCCTTAGCTCCGTTGCGAAAGAAAGAAAGAAAGAAAACAGAGAACGCAAGGGAGGGATGGAATTGCGACTCGCCGCTTTCCTTCCGCTGTGATTCTGTGTGAGCTCTGTGTCTTGTTTGCCAACACTACACCTAAGGGAGGGATGGGAGGACGGCACGCCGCCACCACACAGGGATTTTAATAAATAAATAAAACGGACACACCAAACAAGGGGTGGGAGAAGGACAGGGTCCCCACCTGCGCGAGCAGGATCTTGTTTGTGAAGGACGATCAGGGACACAGGGGAACGGGAGCGGGGAGCGCATCGCGACACGGAGGGGGGCTGGGCAGGGTTCACCCACACGACAGGGTCCCAGGGATTCCCCTCTCGTATAGGACACAGGGATTTCTAAAGATATTAGAGCGCGGTCGAAAATTCTTTGTGGCCTTCGCTGAACCTCCCACAGCCTGGTGCCACGAGCAGGGGCAGTGCGTCCCACGGCGGCTGAGCTCGCGCACGCGCCGCCAGGTATGCTGAGGCAAAGAGATTCCCTCCTCGCTCCGCCGAGGCTGCTGCTGATCGTGTTCGCCAGCCTGCTCGCGACCGCCGCTGGCGCCTGGTCCGCGCACGCCGGGCAGCGGCAGCAGCCGTGGCCGCGCCAGGCGAGCCGCTCGGCGACGCCTTTGGCGCTCGCTGCGCCGCCTCACGCGTGGGGCCGCCAGCGCGGGAGCGCCGCGGCCGCTGGGAGCGCCGCCACGCCGCGGGCGCCGAGAGCCGGGCGCGTCTCCATGCAGGAGACGGACCTCTACCAGGCGCTGGGCGTGGCGCGGAATGCAAACGACGGCGACATCAAGCGCGCGTACCGCTCCGCGGCGCGCAAGTACCACCCGGACGTCAACCCGTCGGACGACGCCAAGGAGAAGTTCCAGACCATCAACGAGGCGTACCAGGTGCTCTCCAACCCCGAGATGCGGCAGCGGTACGACCAGTTCGGGATGGCGGGCATCAAGGGCGCCGCGGGCGCGCCAAACATGCAGGACTTTGACCTCGGCGACATCTTCGAGTCCTTCTTTGGCGGCTCGCCGGGCGGCGGCGGCGGCCGCGCGCGCCAGAACCGGCCGACGCAGGGCGACGACCTCCGCTTCGACCTCGAGCTCGACTTCAAGACGGCTCTCTTCGGCGGCGAGAAGAAGATCCGCATCACGCAGCTCGAGGCGTGCGCGACGTGCGCGGGCTCGGGAGTCGCGCCCGGGGCGTCGGTGCGCCGGCCCCCTCACCGCCCGCCGCCCAGGAAGGGGCGCTCGAGCCGGGCTCCCTCGGCACGCCTCCGGGCGGCACGCCTCCGGACCCCCCCCCCCCCTACCCCTCACCCCTCTTAACCCACTCTCCCTGACCCCCCCCCCCCCCCAACGCCCACCCTCTCCGCCGCGACTCCCAGGTGACGACTTGTACAACCTGCGGCGGCCGCGGAGTGGTGATGCAGACGGCGCGCCCGCTCCGGCCGTTATCCCCGCCCCGCCCCCTGCGGCAAAGCTGACCCCTCCCCTCCCCTGCCCCACAGGTCAACACCATCCTCGGCAGGATGCAGCAGCAGTCGCGCTGCCCCACCTGCGGCGGCTCGGGCTCGGTGCCGCTCTCTCTCCCCGCCCCTCCCCCCCGCTCGCCAGCTCAAGAGCCTCCGCCTCCGCGCAGGTGGTCGAAAAGTACTGCGGCTCGTGCGACGGGCGAGGCACAAACAAGCGCTCCAAGCAGCTCACCGTCACGATCCCTCCCGGCGTCGAGAACGGCAACCGGCTGCGCGTGCGCGGCGAGGGCGACGCGGGGCCAAAGGGCGGCCCCTCCGGAGACCTGTATGTCTTCCTCTCGGTCTCGCCGAGCAACGGCTTCCGGCGCGAGGGCATGGACATCTTTTCCGAGGCGCGCCGCCCCGCCGCCGCCCCGCCGCCGCCGTTGTCTTGCCGCCGCCGGCTTTGGCTGTGCGCGGTAGAGGCTGGCCCGCCCCCCTCCCCTCGCAGGTGAGCGTCTCGTACCTCGACGCCATCCTCGGCTCGACTCTCAAGATAGACACCGTGGACGGCTCTCCCGTCGACGTGGCGCTGCCGGCGGGGACGCAGCCGGGCGCGACGCTCCGGCTCGAGGGCAAGGGCGCGCCCAAGCTCAACAACCTCAACGTGCGCGGCTCACACTTCATCAAGGTCAACGTACAGATCCCAAAGTCCCTCTCTACGAAGGAGAAGGAGCTGGTCACAAAGCTGCGCGCCGAGTCTCGGTAGGCCGCCGTCGCGGGGTAGGAACTAGGTGGGTGCCGGGGTGAGGAGAGTGGGGGCGAGAGAGAGGGCAGCGGAGGGTGCTTTCGTGCCAGACACGGGGCGAGGGGGGGTGGTGCGATCGTCACCTCTCTACGAGCCGCCGCAGGCGCGGCGTGGCGCGCGGTGTCGGCGGTGGCTTGCAGTCCTCCCTCTCCAGCACTCACTCGCTGTCGCTCCCTGTCTGGGTGCTTTTCTCTCGTTCTCGATTCTCTCGATCTCGTCTCTCCTATCTGTATTTGGCACAGAGAATTTTTTCGTCCGCTAATCATCGATGATACAGAACACACTAATCGAGCGAGCAGTCTTGAGTCTTCACCTCAGCAGACCTACACCAGTCAACACCCGCGCCGCGGTGCGCGGATGACGACGACACTCGACACCAGCATTGACGCGTTGAGCAGGACACACCAGTCGGGGCAAGAGCGAGGATACATGCACAAATTCTCACTTCTTCGCCTCTGGCTCTGCCCTCTATGACATGGGGGAGTTCGGGGGGGGGGGGGGGGAAGGCCCTGGCTAGCGGCTTGCCTCACCACTGCTCGGCCCCGTCCTCTATCGACTCGTCGTGTACGAGCAGCGACGCGGAGAGCGCACCGCCCGCGTGCGGCGAGAAAGGCGGCACGTGCAGCGCGCCGAGGAAGCGAGAGGCGATGAACTTGCGCGCCAGCGGCGCGAATCGGCGCGGCTCGGCCTCGGCGTCCTCGTAGTGGGCGTCGAGCGACGCGCCGTACTCTTGGAGCGCCTGGCGCGAGAGGTGGCCGAGCTCGCGGTGCGCGATGGCGTGCTGCGCGCGCAGCAGCTCCAGCGGCCGCGAGAGGCGCGCCGCGCTGTAGCCCGTGGCCTGCGCCATGAAGGGCGTCCAGTACGCCACCGCCTCGCTTGCGGCGCCCGGCGAGCCGTCCGTCCAGCGGCCGGTGCGCAGGCAGGCGGCGGCGAGGCAGAGCGCCGCCGAGGCGACGAGCGAGGGGCGGAGGGGGGCGCACTCGGCGATGAGGAGCGAGAGCTCGCAGAGGTACTGGGCGAGCATCGCAACCTGGAGGCGAGGGGAGCCGTGGGGTGGGGCGGAGAGCTGCCCCGGCGCGTCGGCGGGCACCGAGGGGGGGTGGGGGGGGGGGGGGCGTGGCCCCTGGCGCGAGAGGCCTCGGTGGACCCAGAAAAGGTCGGGCCACCAAAGGCGCGCGAGCGCGCAAAAAAGGCTGTCGACGGCGGTGGGGTGGGCAAAGTCAAAGTGGAGGGCGACCCACAGGGAGAGCTCCCCCTCGAGCAGCTGCGCCTCCGAGTGC